AATTAAATTTTTTGTAAAGCTTGTTTTCCTTATTGATATTTTTTCAAACCTTAGGTTTTTTTTAATATAACATGTTTTTTCAAATAAATTATCAAATAAGATAATATTTCAAAAAAAAAAAACCAAAATGGCCATGTTTTGAAGAGAAGTCGCCATATGAAATAGTTGATCAAGGTCTCCCAGACCTGATTCACCATTTCATATGGCGCATGACTTTAAATTTCATATCCTACCCTATACTGAGTCGTCATATGGGATGACACATCAGTTGTAGGGTTTTTTTTAATATTTAATTTTTGTTTATACTTTATCACATTTAATTAATATTTAATATTTAATATTTAGTTTTTGTCACATATAATTAAAAATAATAATAAAATTTGTTATTTTTAATATTTTATAAAAAATAAAAAAATAAAAAATAAAAAATTATAATATAAAAAAGCTTCAATATTGTACAACAGATGAAAAGAATAAAATCAATGGCCGACTCTATCAAAATGACCACCGGTACCACATTGGGGAGGATTTGCGCAACGTCGAGGTCTACCACGAGGTTGTTGAGGTATATCTGATTTTTGCGTGTTTACCCGTGGAAGAGGTATTTGTTGAGATGACCCCGACGTATCAGATAAATTTTGAAGCATTTGACCCCAATAGCCGGGCTGGACGCTGCCAACGGTGCTTCCGTAATTAAGTTCAATGCTCATGTTTTTTTAGTTTTTTCGGGGAGGTTGGGTGGGGTGTGGACGGTATGGTTGTCTGAATTAGTACATCAAATTGGTTTAGAAATAATGTAATGGTTGTTGTGGGGTTTGGTACTCAAAAAGTGGATATGTATTTTGTTGGTAGGAAGATTGATTAGCTGGTGTGGGGTCAAAAGAGTTATATGGGCTATAGGTGGATGGGGTAGGGTCAGAAGATGTATCAGGGCTATATGCAGAAGTGGTGTCAATTTCAGAAGGCTGGCGGTAGGGGTAAGACTCTTGTTGTTGTGATTGGGTTGGTGGCATGTATGGGTTGCGGTTTTGGAAGATTGATTGGGTGGGCATAGTTGGATATTAGGTATAATATGGTGTTTGATGTTGGGAATTGGGTTGCTGTTGTGGGTTCGAGGAAGACGCACGTTGCCTTGGGTCAATCAAATATGTCGGCTCTGACACAAATTGTTGTGACGTTGTAACAGACTTAAACCAAATCATATATTGATAACTTGGTCTAGCTCCTTCCACAATAGGGTTAATTAAGATGTGTTGATATTGGTTCTTCCAATGCAGACGCATCTCTGATGCAAAATACTTCCAATGATTTACACTCCATTGTGTATCCACCCTTAGCTGATGCCAGTGTCCCAATGACGTTGGAGCATACTGAATAACCTGATGCATCCCGAACTGTAGTTTCACCCGGTCAGTTTGGTGCATCTCCACTGTAGTGAACCGAATGGTAGGTGTTTTAGATGTCCACATGGCAGCATCATTGGCGTTGGGCTGGTGGTCGAGACCCTCGTACGACATTCAGATAAACTACATTAACAATATATGTAATTAGAAGAGTGTAGCCATGCAGATATTTTTTACAACCCAAACTAACCAACATAAGGACTATTAAAAGAGGGGGATAACTTTCGTACAAAAGAAGATTGTGTCCGAGCAATTAAAAAATATCACATGGACTTATCAGCAGATTATAAAGTCGATTGAACAAATCCGACTCTATATAAGATCTACTATCGTAACGAGGTGTATCCATTTCGATTAACAACGTCTTTTTGGAAGAGAAGTGATTCATGAAAGATAGGGTCAATGGGTCTAGCCCACACTTGTATAATCACAAATCTGATGCAGGACCATCGTAAGCTCAACTCTCAATTGATTTGCGATGAGATTCAATCGGTCATTAGCGACAACCCTTCTTTGAAGGTGAGTACCATAATTTCACATATGGTTCAAAGCTACAATTACACTCCTTTGTACAGGAAAGCATGGATAGCTAGGACTAAAACAATTGAAATGGTGTTTGGAAATTGGGAGGAGTCTTACAAAGAACTTCCAAAATTCTTGGTGGCACTTAAACAATATTCTTCAGGGACTGTTGCCATCTTGGAGAAGATGCCGACGTATACACCAGACGAGACTTGCGTTAGTGGAAATGACATTTTTCACAGACTCTTCTGGGCGTTTGAAGCATGTATCAAAGGCTTTGCTTATTGTAAACCTATTATTCAAGTTAATGGCACATGGTTGTACGGGAAATATAAGGGCACGCTACTCATGGTCGTGGCACAGGATGGGAACAACAACATTTTTCCAATAGCCTTCGCTCTAGTTGAAGGGGAGACTGCTTGGGGTTGGAGTTTTTTCCTAAAAAATCTCCGCTTATAAGTTTCTCCCCAACCTAACTTATGTTTGATCTCTGATAGATACTCATCAATCGAGAGTGCATACAAGAACCTTGATAACGGTTGGCAGGATCCTCCCTCAACCCATGTGTATTGGATAAGACATATCGCCCAAAATTTCATGCGGAAAATCAAAGACAAAACACTAAGGAAGAAGGTTGTGAACGTAGGGTATGCACTAACAGAGCCCATATTCAAACACTACAGTGACGAGATCAGACTGACAAACACATACGCATTAAGATGGATTGATAATATTCATAAAGAGAAATGGACAAGGGCATACGACAATGGGGTGCAATGGGGCCACATGACAACTAACCTCGTTGAATCAATAAATTCTATTTTCAAGGGAATCTGAAACCTACCGATAACTGCCTTGGTAAAGGCAACATATTTTAGGCTCGGGGCACTCTTTGATAACAAACGTACAATGTGGGGTTCAATATTACAATATGGTCAGTTGTATAGTAATAGTTCAACAAAATTCATGAAAGACGAAGCTGCCAAAGCCAACACACATGTGGTCACAATCTTTGACCGTAATAAATGTTGGTTCATTGTTGCCGAGTCAATTGATCACAATGAAGGAAGGCCTAGGGGATGTTACCGAGTGGAAGTGGATAGAAGTTGGTGTGACTGTGGAAAGTTTCAGGCATTTTGTATGCCTTGCTCCCATGTTATAGCAGCATGTTCGAAGGCGCGGCAGGACCCAACCAACTATCTTTCTGCTGTTCACTAAGTGATAAGTCTCTGCAATGTCTACACATGTAGCTTTCAAGTGGTGGCAAAGGAGGACTATTGACCTCCATACAAAGGAGAAATTGTCTAGCATAATGATTTGATGCGAAGAAAGAAAAATGGTCGCCCTAATGGCACACACATTCAAACGTAGATGGATGCAGCAAACAAAATGGTCAGATTATGTAGTTCGTGTCGGTAACCAAGACACAATCGTACAAAATGTCCCAATGTAGGATCAAGCACAGAATGTTACCGTGTCCCTTTAAATCAACAACAAATTTCATTCCATTGAAAGCATAGCTAAGCGATTACAATTAACAAGCAACATAAACTAAACAAATATAACTTAATATCACAATAACATTCCGAAAATAACAACAACATAACCTAATATCAAAATAACAATCCGAAAATAATAACAACAAACCCACATAAAACAACACAATGCATCAACTTGTCTAGGATATCACAACCATCAAGGTAATCTTCTTTGGTGTTAACATCATCACAAGGACACCAACATCATTTTCCATTTTTCTCCAATCACGAGTAACTTCGTTTCTCCATGACTCCTCAACCAACCTCTCAATTTTTCTAATCTTTTCACCTGCAACAATATCTTCTTCTAGCCAGCGGTTCAGTTTCCTATGCAAATGCTCTAAAGTCTGTGTGTTCCACAATAGCACCTTCATCAGAGGCTTTGTTGCTAAAAAACAAACTAGGCCATTTCTTTTCATTAGAGAAAATGTTGGAAACGCTTCCTCCGATGATGACGACAACAATGATGAACGTTGATTTAGAAATGCAGACATTCTAGACTGATTTCAAAATTATGAAGACTCGAGTCTATTGGTGAAAATTGTTGTGAAAAAATATGAGTATACAGTCTTATTTATAGAAAAATAAAATAGTACGGACCACATATGATATGCCGTAAATACCTTTACAAAATTTATTATTTTTTAAAATTATATATTATTTTTTATAAAATATTAAAAAATAATTTTTATATGTTTTTTTAAACAAAAATTAAATATTAAAAAAACCCTATAACTGATGCGCCATCCCATATGGCGACTTAGTGTAAGGTAGAGCATGAAATTTAAAGTCATGCGCCATATGAAATGGCGAATCAAATCTGAGAAACCTTGATCAACCATTTCATATGGCGACTCCTCTTCAAAACATGACTATTTTTTTTTTTTTAGTAATTTATTTGAAAAAACATGTTATTTTATTTTAATTAACAAAAAAAAATTAACTTATCTAAACACTCTTCTTATTATTTAAAAAATCACAATTGAAAAACAATATTATAAATAAATAAATAAATAAAGTGAGACCCTGAGCGATAGCTTTGGCGAACTATCCTTAAAAAAGATGTAAGGATGAAGTCTCAAACAAACTAAGCATTTTTAAGCTCTTCTCAAATTCAAAATGTTCAAAATGTTGCAGCCAACTAATTATGTTTTTTGTAAAGCTTGTTTTCCTTATTGATATTTTTTCAAACCTTATTTCAAATAAATTTTCCTGTATATATTTTCTTTAATGGTGGCCTGGCTAGGACAGTATATTTGACAAACATAAACAGAACTAATATATCCAACAGATAGTAACAATAAATGATGATACAATGGTGATGTTAAAATTTTTTGCAGTTATGCTGAATGTTAAAGAAGTGATGCTTAACACTGGCAAATAAGATTTGATACACATATATAGCTGATGTCTGTTACAGATTTTTGCTTTAGAAAATTGATGTTTTAAACATAAACTCTTTATTCAAATTCAAAACCATCAACAAACAACAACATTGACAAACTTAAATCACAAAGACAACAAACACATAGTTTGATTACTGGGGAGGTTTCTGAGTGTGAAGCTTTCTGTGCAATTTATTAAATGTGACAACTACAGTGACATAGATCCTATCTTCCATGTTGCTTAGGAAACGGAAATATGCATGTCTCCAAGATGTAAAGAGTAATATGGAGCCCCAAAATACCCAAAATCCAGTAAAAAAACCTGCAATCATGGTTATGTAGAATGGGTTTATTACTATGCCCTTTCTTTTGTCTCCATGGTTGTTGTCATTTTTATGTTCTTCTTCGGTGTGACTACAATGTGCATCTTCGAATGAACTATTTTTAGGGCATGCTTTTGTGATTGGAATATCACAAAGTTGTGGATTAGCTTGGTAGGAATCGTTGGAAAATGTATCAAGTTGATTGCCTGTTGGAATTTTGCCAGACAAAGTGTTGTATGATAAGTCCAAATAACCGAGGAAAGACATATTAACAATGGTAGTGGGAATGCCACATGATAATTGATTCCTCGACAAATCCAATGCTTCCAAGTTTTCCATTTCACCAATATTGAAAGGAATGGAACCCACCAACTGGTTCCTCGACAAATTTAACGAATACAAATAAACTAGCTTTGTAATTTCAACAGGAATGCCTTGTGTTAAAGAATTTGATGACAAGTCAATCAAATGCATGAATGTAAAACCCCGACTAAGAATCACCTCAAATCCTTTAAGTCGAAAACGAATTGGATATTTTCTAGATAGATATATTGAAAGACTTTCCTTAATGGTATTGAAGGTGATGACAGTTTTCAAACAACCAACCAGGGATAGTACTATTGAAATAATTGACAGACAAATCAAGAGTTACAAGAGAATCAAAATTCACTTTCGATGGCAGAGATGAAGGAAGTTCATAAAGTCCACAACCTGACAAACACAGTGTTTCAAGAGAAGGAAGTATTGTGCTAATGTCATGAAACCAATCATTTTTAGAAATGCTCACATAAACACCACTCAAATCCAGAGTTTTTAAGGAAGAAAGTCCGGAGAGCCATTTTAGATTATTGACATAGAAACCGTTTCCACTCAAATCAAGCGATTCAAGTAGAGAAAGGTTTCCAAGATTATTATCAAAAAGACTTCCCTTAAAATTTGCATTAGAAAGGTCAAGATGTTTTAAATTTTGCATACTACCTAGAAAAGAAGGCAGACTAGATTGCATGAAATAATTGCCACGAAGGTTCAAATAACTTAAATATGGCAATTTTCGCAAAGATGGAGATAAGTAACCTTGAAGATTATCTAAGGAATTAGAAGAATGGAGATTAAGAGAGATAACATGACCTGTGGTTGTGTTACATCCAACTCCTCTCCAATGGCAACAATCTTCTCCAACTGTCCATGAAGATAAAAGATTTGAAGGGTCTTTCAAACCATTTTGGAACTCATGAAGAGCCTCTGCTTCATTGTTGAACCCTCCATCACATATGTGTCCCTGCAGAAGAAGGCATAGTATTGTAATAACTTTCGTTATTAGTTGAAGGAATTTGGTATTCAACATCATTTTTTTAATTTAATGGTTCTTAATTCTATAACTTTTAATTTTCTTGAATGAGCACACCACTACTTATAGGACTTCCGGTACCTTAATAATTATGCGTGTCATTGTCATAATTAACATTATATCATTTATATAATATTGTATGAATAAAAAAATTATTAAAATATTTTCTCTTATTGGCAATTTTACTTTTAGATTAAAAAAAATATGAACACTTCGGTGTCCTTAGATTTAGTTGAATAACAGTATCCTCATTCAATAAAACAATACTCACTCTGTCCTACAATGAGTGATTCAGTTGACTTTTCATACAGATTAAAAAAAATGAAAGAGAAAAAAATAATATTTTTACTAAAATAGCCTTATGATGTATTGAAAATGATAAAAATAATATTAATTAGAGGATAAAATAGGAAAAATTGCATTGAAAATTAAAATTGATCATATATTTTAAAATACAATTTTATTTTAAATAAGTCACTCATTGTAAAACGGAGAGAGTAACCTTCAATGACATGTCAATTTTTATGTATATTTTATTTAAAAATAAATTATTTTTTAAAATAATTTTCTACTAAAAATACTGATATCCAAATAATAAAATATTTGTCAAGAAAAATGTAATAAAAAGGCAATTAAATGATATAAAAGTATTCCACCTCAAAGTCAATGAAGTCAATTCCACTGTTTAGCTTTAGTAACATCATCTTGTTGTCTAGTTTATCTACGAAGCATTCCGAAGTCTGTTGTCTTTTGCAAAAGACTTAAAAAAAATCCAAGTCTTTTTGGAAGTCGAGATTAATTTTTTGCTTGATGTTGAATGAGTTCTGCACTTCAGCCATAAAATGTTATTGACTCGTTCAATAGCAATCCATCACCATATGCATGGAATCAATTCAGTGCGTGTCATTTGGTTTTATGAAAGCATTTTTAATAGAAGTGATAATAAAATTTATTAAGACAATATCTATATAATCTATTTAAAAATTAATTAATTCAATCTATTCATCAAATAAAATGAATTGGATCCAATGCATTATACATCCATTTTATTTTATATTTTAAATTCATCCAATCTATTTTATATAATCTATTTAAAAATTAATTCATCCAATCTATTCATCAAATAAAATGAATTGGATCCAATGCATTATACATCCATTTAATTTAAAAAATGTAAACGCTTTATTTTATATTTTAAATTCACAAAAAGATTGAAAGAAAATTAGTTAAATATAAGTAGAAGAGAAGAGAATAGAAAACTGTACGGATGAAATTGTCAATAGTGGCAATTTATAGTTTGATGGACACGTTGCTTCATGTGCGCGATGCATGCTCTCATGCCGCGATGGCTAACAAAAGGCCCCAACGTCACTATTCTAACGTCTTTATAACTTCATTATCGTGAGTGCAATGAGAAGCATTGCGCCACAATGAAAGCTTTTATCACTACTACAAAACACGCAAACAACAACGTCATGTTTACAACAGATTCATATACACTGTTGTAATAGGTTAAAATTTTCGCGCCCGGTGAGTAGTTGGATTTATAAATAGTAATTTAATGACGGTTGTCTTAAAACACCATAGTAATAAATGATGTCTAGCAAGCTCCGATTCCCAACAACTAAATTTTTTCCATTTTTTAGAGTACATTAAATGTGTGTCACTTAAGTCCATTATTTAAAAAATAAACTGTAAATAATTTTACAATGGTGAAGTAAACTAACCGTTGTTAGAGGACTTACAATTCCACTACGGTTGGGTTGTCCAACCGTGATTAAAGGGTTTAATGATAAATTAAAACAAAACTTATTATGTATCTCTTTCATAAGACGCCCTAGGCGAACATGCGAGCCATAGACGACACCGGTGGCGTAATATTTACCATTTTTGTATCCATTCATTTGGAGCTCAAATCTTCACCCTCTTCGTTCATTTGATTATTCAGCTTCGAAGTACGGTACTCTTCAACATCTTCATTCCTTACGTGCATAAGATTCTTCAACTTCGAAGTACGGTATTCTTCAACATCTTTATTCCTTTTTTCTTTGTTTATGTTGTATATGTTCAAGTCAGTATGAGAGTACATGTTTCATATGCTTTAGATTTAGATTTGCATATGCATGTGCTTAAGTTTTTGGATTAGATTTTGGTGTGTCATTCACATTATTATATGTGTATAAATTTCAGAAATTGTTATGGATCGTAGTTGGATGAAAGCCGATAGATTAGGTCCGGTTTATGAGAACAAAGTTATTGAATTCCTTTAATACGCTGATAAACATCTTCCCAACAATAATGATATCTTTTATTGTCCTTGTGCTGTTTGCGCGAATATAAAAAAGGGTACATAGAAAGAAATATTTCATCTGTAACACTCCACTCTACCCTGTACGCGTATTATAAAACATATACGGAAATATTACATAAAGTACATCAGAGTTCTCCAAACAAGTAGGATGTCACACTAAGTCACTTCATACTTCATAAATAAACCAATGCTATCTAGCTTTCAATTAAACAGCGGAATAAAGTCAATTGTTTAAACATAACCTCCACCTCGAGGTGATCATACATCCTTAATCCAACAAATAAAAGATACGTAACAAATAATTGAAAAATAAGAAAAATACAACTAAAATCCCATCATCCTGTGTTACGTATCAGAGCGACTCCTAGGACTCTGTCAAATAGAAACACACTCCAAGCACTACTCAGGTACCTGGTCATCTGCACTCCCCAAGGAGGACAGACGCAACAAACAGAAAAGGGGTGAGAACTTCATTCAATAAATAAGTGGTGAAATACACATGCTAAAGAGTAGTTACATGCCACACATACAATCATACACATACAACGCACCTACACGTGCCACCTCAATCACTCGACATCAATAGCCTATATCCAATTATAAATATGTAATATGACTCACTAAATCGACACAATACATGTGGTACCAACACAAATACATACGGTTCACCCTAGAACCCGATTCCCGTCGGAATCCGGATAAGTCGTATATGTTCCTCTGAACTACAACTTATCTCCACAATGACTTCCACATGAAGTTCGGATCAAACTAGGCACCCATCAGAGGTTCCCACCTAGCCATTTCCATAAGACACATGACATGAAATGCATGACAACACAATTATGTAAATATAATAATTCAAGCATAACCCATGATCATCAATGATCCACACGAGCCATTCGCTCACCGTAATCCTCTCGGGGATTACCACAATCACACATGATTATTCACATTCGATAATCACGACTCACACTCATCAAAACACACCCTTAAGGACACACCCATATAATTCCATATTCTCTTGATTTAATTTATTACTAATATTTCTTAAGTTAATTTTAGTCCTATTAATCCTACCGAGTAAACAGAATGCGTTCTAAGCGGAAACTGGACAGAAATCACAAAAATTGGGGAAAAGTCATCCCAGACTGTCCATACGCGTACCAACATGGTCCATACGCGTATTGCCCGCCGTCATACGCGTATTATACCTACCTTACGCGTATGACCAGAGGTCTTCACCTCCCAAAACCCCTCAGAGTTACTCCTTACGCGTATGACTACTCCCATACGCATATTGCCAAAGCCCATACGTGTATCATACGCGTATCACTGGATGGTCGTGCTGGTACTAGGGACAGGGCACGTCTGCTACGCGTACAGCCATAGGGAAGTCCCCCATATGCGTATTGACACCCCCAATACGCGTATGACCAGCCGATCTATCAAAAAACTCATATCTCAGCATTCCCACGAGTTTCCTCTCAAGATCCATCATCCTACCTTCCCATTCATCCTAAAACTCAGATTTCAATCGATTCCAATTAATCCTATCTTCTATTCTTTCAAGACTCTATTTATTAGATCTAATTTTGATTACTGTTAAACCCTTAACTCTTAGATCTAACATCTGTCATAATTTCACCACAGTGTTCGTAACTTTTCACACGAATTTTAGATCAGTTCTAGATTCGTTCATCCAACACCGGACCAGAATATTCAACAATGACAGCAATTACAAGGAAAATCATACTGTTACGAAAATCAACCCAATGAGCAAGGACAAACAGAATTCCTACGAGAGAAAGGACCTCTCACTACCCTCTCATGTTAAATCACCCATATTGAAATCCATTCTCCCCCTTACCTTGGATTGAAGCTTTTTCCTCGACAACAATGGAGTATTGGTTCCTTTTTGCCCTAGCTCTCCTTTTCTCTGCCTTTTTCCTCTTTTAAGTGTTAACTAACTCTCCCACTAACCCTCTCTTAACCCCCTTAATCAGATTTTTAATTCATTTAATCCAATTAATAATAATAATAATAATTAAGAATAATAATAATAATAATAATAATAATAATAATAATAATAATAATAATAATAATAATAATAATAATAATAATAATAATCACTACCATCCTATTAATATTATAATCAATAATAATATCAATAACCATAGTACTCACATTATTGTTATTAAATGGTTAATGTTATTATTATTATAGGTCCACCTTACCCCAACTAAGGTCACCTCTCACCCTTGTCACTAACCTCATACCCTTATCAAAGACATCACGACCTATACGCACACAATAAGGTATAAAAGACTAAATAATTCAAATGGGGTGTTACACCATCACCTTTATTGTGATGGTATATGTCAAAATTATATAATATGGACATGGAATGATGAGGTGGATAAAGAGGAAAGTCGGGCGTCATAAAGTCAAAGAGTGGATGAAGATGAATATATGAAAGATCAACTAGAGGATATGTTTTGTGATATTGGGGAATCTTCTTTTAAGAATGCTCATATTTATGATACTTTATGTAGTGATAAATGCACCCCTTTATATAAGGGATACACAGGTTTTACACGACTGTCGATGGTGTTAAAGTTATTTAATCTGAAGGAAAAAAATGGATGGTCGGATAAAAGTTTCACGGAATTACTTGAATTGATAAATCAAA